AAGAACCCCTTGCTCATCGGCCCTTCCATCTGACAAGGAAATCAATGCCTTTGGACTTAAACTGGCCTCCGAAAGCACACCATTTTTAAAAGTTGGAATTGTGGGCCAAGGAATTTGCCGATCTGGAATCAAGTTTCATATGTCTAACTATGTCTATACCCGAACGTATATATTGTTAGGCAAGGGGGAAGAGAGAGAAAAGTGTTAAAGTCATCCTCAGCCTATTTAATAGGAAATAAATTATTTCTGCCTATCACCTTGCTTGCTGTGGAAATAAACGAGGTTCGATCGCTACGGAAAGGAAGGAACGCGTGTAAGTCGGTATGCAAAACGCTTCGACGCGAAATTGTCCCCCATGGAACGTCAAAAAAACATCCAGTAGTTTTTAAAAATAATATCCAGTTTTTATTAAATACTCAACCATAGTCCTTTGGACATGACTCTTTTTTTTTTATACATGATGCTAGGAAGCGTAACACAAGGTTTTCTTTTCTCCTACTCGCTATAGAATGTCATTCACTTTACTGTTTGACCATTACAGTGCTAAACATAAATATAAATACAGAGACCACAAATACAGCTAAAAATATTCACACAGGAACTGTCACAGTTTGTCGTATGCATCATGACCCCAGGTAGTGTTTTCAATACAATGAGTTTACTCTGGAAAGAAAGCGCTATATTTAGGTGGATGTAGCTTCGAAATGGATGTATGGAGGGAAATTATTTTCATGGGGCTAGGTGAGCCAGTGATCTGTGTTATGTTTTCTTTTTTAAACCCAGCTTCCTTTCCGCGATCCTCATCACCACCAGCAGCAGCTCCTTCCTTATTATTAGGAAAGTGAAACTGCCCAGAGTTCATTTGGACCTGGCTGAACCCAGCACTACCCAAAGGCAGTCCTACAGAATCCTTCTCCTTTTGCAAGCGAGGTTCTGTCTAGGGAGGGCAAAGAAGGAATGGCAGGGGAGTTTCTATGTGTGTGCGTGTGTGCGTGTGCGTGTGCGCGTGTGTTTTAGGCAAAGCTGGGTCACCGGACAAGGAGGCCAGGAGGACGGGGATAGGAGCTTCTAAAGGGGAAAGTAAAGGAGACTTGGGAGTCAGGGGTCTCGGACCTGAACGCTGGAAGCTGAAGGCGGAGGAAGGGGATTTCTCTCTCTCTCCCCCCCCCCCCCACTTTTCTTTTAATTTAACCCAATGTAGCAATTGTGCCTGCGGTAATGAGAATGGAAAGGAAGGCAAGAGAAGCTGGGTGGCGGGAGGAAAGAAAGAGGACCTTCTGTGTGGTGTGCTCGTGGGTGAGACTCGTGGGGAGGGGAAGGAAATTGCTGGCGGAGCCGTCCCGTTCATTCCTTCGGTTTTTCCTCCTGTGTCTCTTCTCTTTTCTCTTCCTTTGCACCCAAGCTCTCGGCAGCTGTTCCAGCGCCACCTCCCCCAGACAGGGTGGAACTCAGATTGCTCTCCTTTTTCCATTTCATCCTCCTGTTTTGGAACCAGATCTTGATCTGGCGTTCAGTTAGGCACAGCGCGTTGGCGATCTCAATCCGCCGCCGCCGCGTCAAGTAGCGGTTAAAATGGAACTCCTTCTCCAGTTCCAGGGTCTGGTAGCGCGAGTAGATCTGACGCCCCCTCCTCCGATCTGCTCCGTAGCCGACTCCTAGGGATTCGGAAACCAAACAAACTAAAAACGATTAGCTACGGGTTCGGCCAACGTGCCTATAAGTCCACAGAAAATAAATAAAACACAAATAATATTTAAGGAAAAAAAAAACCCCGAAAGGAAGTCATCAAGCAACCCCACCCTCCAAGCCCCATCTTCATCGTCTCCCCCACCCATTCCAATTTAATTCTGCTCCTTAGGCTGGCTATTCATTAAAATCTTGCAGCACACATGGAGGGGGGGAGAACAAGAAGAGGGGAGCACCTAATTGAAAGCATGCTCCTTTCTTATTTGCAAAGATTCAGAATGTGTTGCTTTAATTATTTCTGCAAACTTAAAAAAATCTAATTAGATCTTACTTCAATGCTGTTTTAATTACTAGGAATAGACACTCCTTCCATACGTTCTGAAGTCAAGCTACTTCATAAAACCCCAGCTCTCAACCTATTATTGGACAAGACACTTTGCATCTCACCCCCCACCCCAGCACTAAAAATGCCCTTTCTCACCTATCAGGGAAACTTCAATTAAAAAAAAAAAAAAGATTGCCCCAGCTGTATTTTCTACACCTTATTCCCCCCAATCCCCACTGTTGGGGGTGGGGGGGAGGAATCAGGGCTGATTGCACTTTATTATGGATATTTTACACTCCCGAAGTCTTTTAATTAGAAAGAGCATAACAAGCCATATTTGCTTGCAACAACTTAACAAATAAAGGGCCTGTAGCGGCAACTGTGAGGAAGCTATATGATTGTTTTTATGGGGCCATAAAAAGTAGCTGAGCCTGTTCTGCTGGGGAGACGGCCGTAAAGATGGTTCAGTTTATTTAATTTATCTCTGCAAGCTGTAAAACTTACCACTGTGGGAGTTCATGCGCTGCATCCACGGGTATATCTGAATGCTAGCTTTCTGTTCCTGGGACGTGCTCCTGTTTTGGTCACTTGCAAAATCCTGTGCAACAGAAGTTTGTGTATTGTGTCCCATAGAATTTTGCCTGCAGCTAGAGAGCACGTCTTTCTCTTGATAAAAGGCATTCGATCCGTAATCATATGGTCCCCGACTGGAGCTAAACACAACATTATCTTGCGGTGAATAAAAAGGAGATGAATAGATCCTGTTTTGAGCAACGGCTGCTCCATAAGTTGAAAAATGCCTTACAGGGTCATAGGCAGTGGAATTGAGCGGCACGCTGGGCAGGACCTCTTGGCCACTGGTGAGGTGGCAAGAGAGCGACGGGTTTGTGAAATAGGAATTCATATCTTCCCCCCTGTACCTGGCTTGTATGATTTCTTTAATATTTATTTCTGTCTCCAGTTTGTAGTCTGAACTAGATTGTTATAGGGACGGCTCCACTCCAGGACAGACAAAATGACAAAGTCAGCTGACCCGCGGTGAGCCAATAGGAAGCTAGACGTCAAGACACGGAAAAAATGGCTTTTGCTTGTGTTGATTCCCCAGTTGAAACTAAGTATGCATTGAAAGTAAGTCTCGAAATTCTAAATATAAAGATGGTTTAGAAGAAGAGGGGGAAAAGAGTAAGTATGATGGGGGGGAAGGTGGGTGAGCATTGAAGAAGGAGGGGCAAAGGAGGAAAGGAAGAAAAGGAAAAGAAAATCACAGTCCAGAGAAAGCGTTGCCTTAAAAATATTAATTAAAAGGGACGGGAAAGGGAAAGAGTCACCGAGAGCAGGAATCAGGATATTTATTCTTTTGAAAATGCTTGCTTAATATCTCTAACAACCAAATAGCACAGAAATTATAGCCATAAATCTTAAGTGTGCATAAAATATTAAACCATAAATCCTCTTTCCCTCCACTAATTTACTGTCAGTCAATAAACGTGGAATCAAATGCTTGTGTTTTCTAAAAAACAATCTTGAAAAGACAGGCAGGGAAAGAAGTGACAGTTGGACAGAGACGGTATCTTGGAGAATATTCCTGGACTTTGGAATGTGAAGAACTTTGCAAGCTTCTCCTTTCATTCCTTCTTGCCTCACAATTCAGAGCTCGCCTTTCTATCTTTCCGTTTAACGTAATTTAACCCAACATTTGCTTTGCGTTAAGAAAAATAAAAAAAGGAAGAAGAAGAAGAGTTTGTCATTGTTAGAGTCCTGTTTAGGTTTGCAGCACCCCCAGTCTTTCACTACCTTCCCTTTCGCTAGGGAGTGGTGTGGGTTAGAAAGAGCACCTCATGTTTACATTCGCAAAAATAAAAAAAGAGGAGGGAAGGGGGGCAGAATTTATGGCTTCAGATATCTGTAGCTGATTAGAAAACTTCCCCTTGAAATATTTAGTTAGATTAGAGAGTGGACTATATTCCACTCCTCTGGTGGATTTACCCCGACACACTAATTGAAATGAAGACAGCTAATCTCATTTTAATTTCAATCCAGGGCCATAAATTGTCCCTTAAATGTAAAATATACCTGCTGATCTGTAAACGAAGCAAGGTCCCTTCATCATGCCTTTGGTTTGCTCTTTAAAAATTCAATTAGGGCTAGGAAACCTGGGCCTGATTTCCATGGACATCTTAGGGGCTTTTGTTTAGCTGCATTAAAGGGAGAGTGTATGTGGAATGGTCCATAAAAGGAAACCAGACCCACCTCCGAATGAATATCTTTACATTTGCTTCTAACAAATCAGTACTTTGAACATTCCTTGGTGGGATGAAGGATCTCTAGTTGGTGGGCTGAGAAAGAAGGGGAGCAAATCCCTCCTCCTGTAATCACCCCTTGGCTCCAACAGGAACCCGGATGCCAAGAGTTTATGATCTTTTTCCTCTGTTCAACAAAGCAAAGTAATCAGAGGCAGTAGTAAAGCCATAAACCGGACCACAACAGACAAAAAAGAGAGCTGAAGTATTCATCTTGTCCAGCATTAAGCGTTTCTGGAGGGCCAGGATTTTTTTTTTTTAAATAATAGTACGCTTCTTGTATGGAATCACTGGGGGCATTAAAAAAGGAAGAGAATGTTCAAAATAGGAAGAGACTTCCAGCATGCCCAGTACATTTTTCACTTTCCTCACCCTGCAATAGTAGCCATCAAAACTTTACATTACAGACTACGATATATTCTTGTAAGAAAAGGTGGGGGGGGGGAAGAGGGGTAAAGATTACCCTTTTCCTAGATCCATCCACCTACTTGGAGGTTTGCATAGAAAAGCATCTAATATAAGCAGGCATGGACTAGGATGGGTAAGCAGAAAAATAAATAAGCTGATGGAATTTAGTGAAGCTCATTTTAGTCCAGATTATTTGAAAAGTTGTGAGATTGACTATAAAATATATCAATGTGCTAGGCACACAACCCCCCTGAACTGATAGAAGTAAGTTCCTTCCCACTTCTTTAAGGAGAGTTCTCCTGGGAAAACTCTTCAGTGTGTGAATCTCTGTATTTATATTTAAATGGTGGTCCTTTAAAAGAAAATGTTCTTGTATAAATCAGGAATCCATTAAAAGTAAGGAAGCCTCCATATCTCTCCCCACTCCCTTATTTTTTCCTGGTAAGTAAGAGTCACTAAAAAGACTTCTTTTAAAAGTGTTGTAATACTCCTAATCTTGGCTTAAACAGCTGAGATTATGTGATGTTAAAAGGGTTTATGGTTGGAGGGAGGGGGTGTATAGTGGCTATATAGGTCCTAAAGAGCTGTTTTGGAGAGACTTGGGAAAGGATAAAGGGATTTGGGTTTATTACTTTTCTAAAGATGAGAGAAAACCTCAAAGTTTGGTTGTATTATGAGGAAGAGAAATCAGCAGACACAAAGAAATTTGTCACAAAACCCTTCCTTAACACTTGGTTAGATGGGTTAGAAGATGCTAAAACACACACACACACACACACACACACACACAGTTCAGCATTCCAAAATGCACATTTGTCAGCCTAGTATTTTAGTGCAAATTATAACTTACTGGCCTGAAATTTTGCCTGTGCGTAAGTGTGTGTGTCTGTGTGTGTCTGAGTATCTTTGTGTGCAGAAGTCTAGGATGCATTTCATCAAAGGCGATAGTCCTTCCTTCTCACCTTTCCTGTAAACCTATGTAGGTCTCTTTCTGTATAAATTAGTCTGCAAACAATTATGTAAACTCATCAGCAGAAGCAAGAACAGATGTTTTATTAAAACTGCTACACAGCAGTGAAAATATGTGCAAGTCCTGGAACAGTTCTTGAATAGCAGTTGGGTTTCTCCCCTCCCCACCCCCTGGAGCTAAAGTGCCCAAAGAAAGCTGTAATAACATCTCTGACTCATCAGCTATTTTTCCTTTTTTCCCCCCATTTTTCCCCCAGATTTTACCTCTCTCCCGATGCTAAAGGAGAAAAATATGCCTCCTTAGAATTCCCTCTCAGCAGTAATTAGTGAACTGATGTAGAGGAAAACTTCAAAAATGCACACTCAACACATATGTTTTCTGTCCGGAATGATGTCTGAAAGGAAACAAGAGTTATCCTTGAGCTTTTCGTTCCCTCTTTCTCTCTTGCCAGACTCTGATTTTGTTATGTGATCTTGAATGGAAATCCAGACGCGTTTGTTTACTTGTCTGTTTGTGGAGGAAGGAGGGGAGAGGGAGGGGTGCATTTTGTTGGACGTTAATGACGGGCGATCAGCTGAGTCTGCTCACGCAAGAGCGGTCAGGGGGAAAAAGGTCCACACGTTCTCACCTAGTCTGTGCTCTGCATGTAGAGAACTGATTATTCATAAATGCAGTTTTTGCCCGGTTGGACTTAAATATGCATCTAAAGTTGCCCTAGGTCAAACGCGTTTGTTGACTGTTCACATATACAGGATGAGGCTGCACTCTTGTGTAGAAAACGTGTGTTATTATCCCTGATAGATGGATTAGAATCCTTCACTCCTCCCCTAAACACACACCACGCGCACTGGGGAGGCACAGATACACACAGTGTATGAGTCTTTACTCTTGTCTATTTATAGAAATCAGTGTGTACAGTTATGCACCTACTGGTGTTCCTTTTATAGGCTGATGAGACAAATTAGTGTTGTAACCAGATCCAGGCCTATATATCCATGTGATTCCACCAGGGCTGTAAAACCCTGTCCGCATCCATGCATGTTTTACACGTCATGAATCCATTTCATAAGTCAAGCAGTCACAGGCAGCCACGTTGCAGAAACATCAGAAAAAAGCACAGCCCGAAAGGAAGACATTATGTATGCATCTCTCGAAAACAGGAGATCGATAGATAATCAGAAGACCATACAAGCACATAGCATGAGGTCATAGGTTTAAATGCGAGAAACGTGTATTTTGAGGTGTTCTGTGTGAAATGCTCATGGCAGCTTAAGCCGTCCTTTTCATTTGAGCTGATCTCACCTTATATATGTAATCTCGGCCATTTTAGACTTGACATTTATTACAGAGAGGGATTCTTGCCTTGCAATTATTTATTTAGAAAGATTGCACGGAAGTTTCATTGCGCCTACAAAATAAGCTTCTTAATCAAATCTTGGCTCTGCCCATAAATAACTAAATAACAATAACAATAATAATAATAATGATTTTTAAAAGCTAGCCCAGAATACATGGCACATAAACACCGCAAACCGATTATGCCTGATGGAGACGTTTGCCAAAGGGACGTTTTGAGCGGTCCCTTGTATTACAGTAATGACACCTCGATTATTTAAAATACATAGACTATTAGTTTCATTTAGTCTGATCCCCTTCCCACGTCTGTCATGACGGGGCTGAAATGTTTATTCCAGTGTCACTGACAAAACCATTCTGGAGCAGTGAGGTTGAAGACCATCAAAATTATTTTTGTTGGTAAATATATCTGAATCAATAACCAGTAAGCATGGCAGATGAGGGGTTTCGTCTCTTTTCCTGTATTTGCCTTGTTATATTTGTGTCTCTCATTCTCCCCAGAGCACTGCCTCTTCATTCCTTCCATCACACAAATCCCATTTATACATTTTGTAATTCAATTGTTTTCATGTAAGGAAAAAGAATCAGAGCATGCAGCTTAAAAAAAAAAAACAGATTACAAATACCTTACAGTTAAGACAAAGTCCTGCTTTGCTTATGGTTTTGTGGTGTTACATAACTTATGAAAAGACATGCTGTAACTTCTGTTTTTAGACAATTTGGTTTGCAGCTCTTCCCACTATGGGAAAAAAACATTCACATATGCACAGCTACCCAGTATTAGGTGAATATTGGTAAATACACACACACACACACACACACACACACATACTGGGAAGATAACCAAGTGGTTTAAAATGGAAGCTATGGAGGGGAGGAGGGGGGAACAGAGGCAATGTGTGGGAGACGCAATAGCTAAATATTGCTTGTATTCTGGAGGATGGGAAATCTGGGGATTAGCAAAACTCTGCAATGGTCAAAACAACAGTGACTGGACGTGAGGGAAGGGGAGAGAGACAAAATGCATTATTTTTAATCGGGTTGGAAATAAATGTATTTTCCTTTCTTCACCAGATTTCAGATTCTTTTCTGATTTTCTTAAGTATTTCTGCAGATTTCCTACACTCTTCCCCAACCAACGTTTAAACCCATTAATGGCATGGATTTATCCATTGATCTGTTTCTCTTTTTTTTCAGATCTTCTTGCTTCCCAACATTTGAAACCTCCCAGGTTCACAAAGGAAGTTCACCTTGAACCATATCAAGTAACAACACAACCCATTGTCTCCAATATTTACCTCCCCCACCCCACCACTGGTAGCTTTCTTGAGTTAAATCTTGATCAATTAAAGGCATGTCTTCTATAAGCAACTCAAACTAGGGATTTTACTTTGTTTACTTAACACACATTACTGGCAATATTTTTATTATTATAATTAATTTAATTTAAGATCATTTTGAAATAATATGAAATGTGTATGCTGATAGTGGGGGAGGAAAGAGAAATGAACTTTAAAAAAAGTTGAATTTTTAGTTGGCTACTTCTGCATAATGTCCATTGCAATCCAAAAACATTGCACATTTCACCAAAGGATGTTCAGGTTAGAAAACTTTATGGCTCACTTCGATTACTTCATTTTATTGCATGGAAATGTTCCATCCAGTGCTTCCCCTCTTTCCTTTTGACATTTAAAGGAGTTGGGGCAATGACGTCACACTGTGCTGTCACGG